ATCGACCTCAAGCTAAATGAAACGGAGGCCAGCCACAGAGCGCTTCTCGAGTACGGAAGGAGACAACCTCAGTCACAAGTTTCAGCTGCTAGAAGAGGCACAAGTCGCCCAGCGCATGAAGTTGCATTCGGACATGTTGCAGCTCGAACTAGAGTTGCGGGGTGAACTGACTACCTAGCGGAGCCGACTTGACATCGATGAATAAGCAGCGCTTCGTGTCTTGTCCATCCAAGACGAGGCATGGCAGGAAGAAGTGACGATCGAGCTCGACGGCAAGTACCGCGACGCATACGCCGCCCTCGCCGCGGACTCTGCGGCCCAAGTAGATGCGTTCCAATTGAAACACCACAGCGTGCAAGAGTTTTCGCACATGGAACTGGTCTACATTCAACTTGGCCTGGAAGACACCCTAATGCACCACGTGCGACCTGTCGACGCGGCACAACACGAGTTCGTCTGCGTCATGCACGACAAAGCACAAAAGGTACACGAAATTGAAACCCGCATACGTGCAGTAAGCGGAAGCTGCCGAGCGACGCGCGATGGCAGCAACGGAAAAGGAAGCCATGGTGGTTCGACGCCGAGCTCTTCGGTACGATACGGTGCAGCGCGAGCGTCACGACGAGTTCAACCGCGTCTGGCGTGGCATGTTTCATCAAATCCTGGCAGTTCAAAGTGAAAAAGAGCGCGTGCGATATCAATGCGTGCGCGAGATCCAAGCGTTGGAGCGCATGCAAATACGCGATGTCCGCGCCCAAGTACCATTCGGCGACCGCCAGCCCGTGCCTGGCGCCTCGCCGACTGCTGCGCACGCGTATCCAGCAGGAAGCCAAGTTATGGATAAAACCCGAACAAAATAATTGAACACTTGCATTACAGTTTAGGAATTGCTTTCAAGAAATTAGCTCGAACTTGGGCTGGTGTAATCATGTCTCAAGCCTTGTTCGCCCGTTGAATCAATGCAAGTCTCTTCCTTTAGCAGTACGTAACATCCAGTCTTCATCACTCGTTGTCATTCATGTCGTCAGCTATCCATAGGTCGCATAGGTGGCGTTTGAACGGCGCTATGATCGAGACATCTAGGGGTTGGCAATGCGACGTGACATGTGGAGGTAAGGGAGACAAGGCATACCCCAGCAACGCAGCTGTGTCGATGCCCACTTTGCTGACGTGGGACTCGAAAATGTCTAGAACGAGCACCGATTTACCATCGACACACTCTGCCAAGATGAACCAAAGGTACTGTCGCGCGACACGTTGGATTCCATCCAAGTCTTCTCCTGCATCACGAGAATGTGGTGGCGTCGAGGGAACGCCGGGACATCGTGCGTGTCCATGGTGCCACCTGACTGGCCCTTGACAACGAACAAGATCGAGAGTTTGAGGCCGTTGAGCCTTATACATGCACAGCTGTCATGCGGTAAGAATGCTTCTCACTCTTTGAGAGCATCACACTTCACCTCGCTTGGACCAGGTATATTGTAGGCGCAGTAGTCAGTCGGGTACGTCAGCGTTGTCACTGAGGAAGTTTGCGGCAAACTCCGTGCAGGTGCACTCCAGGACAGTGGGTGTCTGCTTCGACATGCGTGCATGTTGTTGATCTCTTGCGTTTGCGCTTATTTCAGCGAAAACGGATTAAAACTGAAGGAGTTATACCGTTTTAACTATTTGGTTCCTGTATACTGTAGATCTCGCACGACCGGAACATTGATATTTATAGAAGTTTACATTTTGTCTCATAAAAATTATTCTGAGGGCAATTTTATTTGTAACAAATGTCGCGAATTTAGAAGTAGTTGTCCAATTATATTGCACTATGCTAAATCTACTTCGATTCAGGTGTGGCTTAACATGTAAATTCCCTCGTTCTCTGTAACTTTAACCTATCTATATCAACGAATAAATCTGTGACTTCGTACGCCAAGTGAAGATGAACGGTCGAGGTCACGAGAACAGTCGGTTGAACGTCTAATGGTTATGAAATGGGTTGTCCGAGCCGTTGAGTGGTTGAACGCGTCGGCGTTGCCACTGCCTCTATAGTTCAAGGGCTCCACAAGGGATGAAAGATGGCCATCGAAGTCATGGCCCATTTGGTGGGCCAAGTGGCCTTGTAGAAGGCGGTTTGCGTTAGCGGCGCGTGTTGAATCTCCCGCCTTGTCGCTTGCGGGAACCTCTTTGTCCGGAGGCCGAATCCAATCGTAAACAAATTTTTATTCATATTGCACGGCAGGCCTCCGCCACCAGTGAAAACTCCCTCATTCTAACTACCCGCCTTGTAGGGAGTTGACAGCGCAGAGGAAAATGGGAAGTGATTCGATTGTCATCGTTAAACCTTACTAGTTAAAGATCACTCTGTAATACTCAAGCGGCCGTGTCGCGGATGCGGATGATGGTGCGGCTAGCTTCCATGTCGCTGGTGCGGGTGCGGCTAGCTGCCATCTCTTGCCGACCACGCACACTTGATGTCGCGACATCATTAGTTTGATCCGTATGACGTCGCCTTGGTCTCTGGCGTCTTCTCGCGTAGGTCTTGGACAAGCTTCTTGAAATGCGCAACGTGCTTGACTGTTCGTTCCAACTCCCATGTTGCTTCGTGCTCTGGCAAACTATGCCATTTGACAAGGTATTCCTTCTTGCGATTGAATTGCCGTTGCTTTAGCAACGCTTCTACGATAAAGAGCTCATTTCCTTTGTCGTCCAGGACATGAGGCGTAGCCTTCGGAATCGGACG